TTTTGACCTGTTCTATATAATTTTTAACTCCTTTGAACAATGAATCATTCACTTTTAACTTTGAAGTTATTATTTTGCATTTGATTTAATTTATATATAATGAAACATAATAAAATACATGGTAATTTCTTGATTGTTTTCAATTCCTATCCTTTTTTGGATGCATCTCTATGGAACCCAAAATTGAAATTGTAGAACATTAGTGCAAAAATCATAACTGAATCAGAATATTTTTGTACACTTAAAATAATTTGAAGATCCAAATTTCTGTTTATGCATGTAGATTTTAAATTGAAAATTATGATCTAGATTAAGATAAATCTATACATAATAACCTTTTTTTTAACTTTTTACCTAAATTTGATTGTTTCAGAATGAAAAGCTTTTGAAGATTGTAGTTGAAGAATATCTTACCTCTTGATGTCTTTCCTCATTGGAATTGCTTTTCATCACCCATGTTTAGAACATTTGATGTTTTCAAATTCTTCTCTTTTAATCCTAAACATAAAAGCATTCAATTAAATATGTACAGATTTTGCACTAGTAATCATGATCATAATTAAAATCTTGGATTCATTTACATGATTTTAATATTGAAATTACAGTATTTTTTCTATGTAAATATAGTAGAAATGCACTGTAATTTGTGTGTGTGTGCGCTAGGAAGGGATTAGGAACTAATTGTGCCAACTTTGTGCTATTTGGTGACAAGTTAATAATATTTGTGGACTATTCTATATGATTAGTTTGAATTTTGTAACTTTAGGAATTTGTATGCTTTCAAATTTGAAAATTGTATAGTATTAGTGCAAGAATCAAAAAATATTATTCCAACATTGAATATGTAGTTTATTTATGTTCACACAAATCATCTAGTTTATTTTTGTAGATAAACTGGAGTACATTTGTGCTATTAATCTCACACGTCAAATTTGCATATTTGCTCCAACAAACTAACATGGCACAAACTTTGAATTGAAGTTATTTATTTTTCTTGTTGACGTAACTATTCCATAGGATTAGTTTCAAATTTTATTTTCTACTTGCATTATTCTACTTGTTGTGTGGATTCCTGACTATGAAATGCATTGCCTAGGTATATAATTGCATATCTCTTCAGTTTTATGAATTTGATTTAAAATTGAAGTGTACTTGATTGGTGGACTATTTGAAGAATAATCTTCCAGATGGCTGAGGACACATTTTATAATAGAAATCTTGATTTAAAATAAACATATGGCATCCTTTACATGAGCTTTATATTGAAGTTACAGTGTTTTTTCAATGTAATTCCTATACAATTTCACTGTAATTTGATTCAAAAGTTATAAAATATTTTTTCCAAATAACTGAGATGCATATAGTTTTGAATACAAATGAATTCCAACATATCTAAATAGATAAAATTTGTCACATTCAGCTATTTTGAAACAGAAGGGTAGAGTTGAAATTGAATAATTACATACCTTTGGATTTTTTTTCCAGAATGGAATTGCTTTTCTTCCACCATCCTTAGAATATTTGACATTCCTGAATCTAAATGCATTTACAAATTGAAAAATACAAGTAAGCATGGAAGGTATGCAAATCATCCTTCTCGTGCTCAGAATTAACATTGTATAATTCTTAAATGAACAGAGTACACTCTTTTCATATTATATACTTGCAGAAAACAAATGTTTCAAACTCTACACAATAAATTTGACATATGTACTTTGCAAAGAAAAGAAAATTGAAAATTGTGCAAATATCTGGAAGAATTGTGTACCTGATGATTTTTTGATACCATCACAACTAATTTCATCTTGTTCACCATGCAAAACTTCTATGACATTGAATTCTGAAGATGGTTAGTGCATTAATCAAAGAATAATAATCCAACATTGAACACTTACTCAAGATTAAAAATTAAAACATACAGGGACAATGTTCAATCAGAATTTATTGTACTAATTGTTTTTAATTGAATATTCTGATTGAAATAATATGAAAACAAATGTTTCAAACTCTATAAAATAAATTTGACATATGTACTTTGCAAAGAAATGTAAAGTGCAAACTCTTTATGTCAATTTTTTAGAATTCAAAAGTTAAATTCATGGTTTAACTTTAGTTACATAGTTTTACTATTGAAATTACAGTTTTTCTTCTATGTAAATGTAACACAAATGTACTATAAGGGCCTCTTCAGATTACAGTATTTTTAAAGGATTTTTGGAGGAATACTGTTCACAGGGATTTTTTTCCTTTCCTATCATTCGGAAGGCACAAACAGGTCATAGGAAAATCTAAGGAAATATTCCTTTGCTGCTGATTACAAAGAAAAAACACAGGAAAAATAACATCCACTCCGACCACATTTTTGTTTTCCTTTGCGTAAGACCGAGGTAATCAAGCAGTAAACAAGAACTTTTACGAATACAAGCAAAGCAACTGAGCCAGAACTCTGAAGGATAGGAATAAGAAGCAATCCAATTAGAAAACAACAAGGGGAAGAAGCAACTCGAGGTTGCCAGCTGCTCGAGCTTGTGATGGCCATGGCGGCAGCTCGTTCCTGCCTCTAGAAGATTGGGGAAAAGGATGATGCGGTGAAGAGGATAAGGCTTTCCTGTCTAGAGAGTACTCGAGAATAGTGACTAGATAGAAAATAGTATTCTATTGCTTAATTAGATTATAATCTACGCGGTTACTCTTGATCGTAAAATTCCCGTGTTGTATATATTCCTGTATTCCGAATGCTTTCTATCATCAAATTCCTTAGTTTTTCAATCCTCCGTTTTCCATATGAAATCCTATGCTATTCCTATTCCTGCATTTTTCCTATCCTGTGTTCCGAATAAGCCCTAAATTTACTTTTCATGTACTGGAATGTGTTTGTGTAGTAAACTTCAATGAGAATATTCAATTAAAAACAAATAGTTAAAATCAAAATTGAATAATCATGTACCTTTCAATTTTTTCCAGATTGAAATTCCTTATCTTCAACCATCGGTAGAATGTTTAATATTCCTGTGTACAAAATATTATCAAATCATTCCTACTTTGAAAAAAGACTGTTGTTGATTCCAATTCAAATGTATTTTTTTATTAAAGACATTGTTGTTTGTGTCTTCTTTACAAACAGTTATTTTCTCATGAAAGGCATTTGTTCTTTATTTTTTCTTTTTGTGAATAGTTTGTTCTACTGTCCTCAATTTGTGTTTTGTTTATGTAATCGTACTGCTGAATTGCTTTATGATCGAAAAGATAGGTATAGAGTCAATTACTGCAAAGTTATATTGGAAATACAGAAAAAATTTTATGTAATTTGATTATAAAGTTATAAATAGAACTCACAGAGAGAATTATCTAATCATTTCTACAACTATTAAATTGATAATCAATTTTGTGTACCTAATTGCTTGTAATGCTACTGTTCAAGATTAAGACTTAATTTTTGGTTTAAGTGTTCCTGTTCATAACTTTTTGATTAATCTGATTTGTAACAACTTATATACACAAATTATACTAGAAATGTAATCAGTTGTTGATATCACTGTTGTTACAAATAGAATCTGATTAATTTATTTTGATTGCATTTTTACTGAGTAATGTTGAGATCGCCGCAATCTGAATTTGTTTTCATTTTAACTGAATAATGTTGACCTCGCTGTGGTTATACGAATTATACTACATGTTCAGCAACTATACTGCCTTTGAGTTTGATCAGATGTTTTATTTATTAACTTTGTGTTTGATTTTTGAAATGTTAACTGAACTGCAGCTGTAATCTCAATACTGAATGTGATTTGTTGAATAAGTAATCTGGACTCTCTGACTCAACATATCTAATTTTGTAGTGACTACATGGATCTAAATTGCAAGATTCAGAAGAAGAAAACGATGAAGAAGAAGAATCAGAAGATCAAATCAGAAGAAAACGATTACTACATGGATCTGAGTTTGCTTGTGTGACTTTGCTGTTTCCAGAATTGATATCTGATCACGTGCTTTTGTCAGCCATCTTCTTGGCAAACATGTTTTCTGATGGGTCACGTGAAGAAATCACCAAATTGGGCTTTTCACTTTAGAATCATTTCGGTTTGGGCTTTGGTTTGGATTTGGGCCACGATAAATAGGCCCTGAAAAATTGTCCATACTTTATTTTGCTGTTTGTATAGCCCATTTCTTTTTTTATATTTTTTTGCTGAAAAAAATGTGAGCTGTTAGATTGAAATCGTATGGTGACAAAATTTGACAGATTCTAGATGCTATTTTCTGTCGACAGGCTATACACGGTCCCAAAAATAAAACGAATTCCCATAATAGGGGGTTTCTAAAATATATGGGTTTTTTTTTGCAATGGAATATTTCAGTTTAATGTAACATTAAATCTATACATAGTGAAACATTATAAGTACACTAGGTGAAACATTTTTTGTAAAAAAAAAAAAACCAAATTCCCATAATAAAGGGGTTCCAAAATATGTGTGATTTGTTGCAATAGTAGATAGGAGCATAGATACGGTAGGACAAGGCCTGCATGCAGCGTGGGGGAGGGGCGTCGCGGTGCGGTCCCCCGCGCCGGTCGTGCGGGTTAGAGCATTCGCGATATTTAGGGTCCTAGCACTGCGGATTTTCTATTTTGCCGACTTAAACAAACCACAACGGGGAAGACCAGTACTCTCATTGCCGTGGTCCACGCGTCGCACGACTGAGTACCGTGCCGTGACTTCCTTCTCCTATCGACCAGGGACGGACGCAGCAAGTTATAAACAGTAAGGCTCAACTATCTAATTCTATTCATTTTGGTCAAATCTCATCTGAAATTTAGTGTTTTTTCTTTGAATTTGTTTATGCCACGTGAGCTGCCTCACACGTGTCACACGGCGCCGACGGCAGCGAGAGAGAAAACAAGCTCGCGGACAGCCGCAACATAAAAAGGCAAAAAAAAAAAACAAAATCTGTTACTACGCCGAAACCCTCTAATCACCAGTTCACAATCCCCCCATAAAAGGCGGCCCGCCTCATATTTCGGCACGCCCCCAAATACACCCGTCCAATGGCCGCCGCCGCCGTCCACGAGCCGCTTCTCGCGGCGGCGCCGCCAACGCCCGGCAAGGCCGCCGACGGCGACGGTCCGGAGGAGGGGCGCCGGCTCGCCTCCGCGGAGGCGAAGCGGCTGCTGCGGCTGGCCGGGCCGATCGTGGCCAGCTGCATCCTGCAGTGCGTGGTGAACATGGTGTCCGTCATGTTCGTCGGCCACCTCGGTGAGCTCCCCCTCGCCGGCGCCTCCCTCGCCACCTCCCTCGCCAACGTCACCGGCTACAGCCTCCTCGTACGCCCGCACGCACGCACGCCCGCTAGAAATTTGAATCGTGGATAGATTGTTTGGGATTCTCCATCGAATTGATCTTTCAAATTCTCCTCTCGCAGACGGGCATGGCGACGGCGATGGACACGCTGTGCGGGCAGGCGTACGGGGCGAGGCAGTACCACCTGCTGGGCGTGTACAAGCAGCGCGCCATGGTGGTGCTCGCGGCGGCGTGCGTCCCCATCGCGCTGGTCTGGGCGTCCGCGGGGCGGATCCTGCTGCTCCTCGGCCAGGACGCGGGCATCGCCGCCGAGGCCGGCGCGTACGCGCGGTGGATGCTCCCGTCGCTCGCCGCCTACGTGCCGCTCCAGTGCCACATCCGGTTCCTGCAGACGCAGACCGTCGTGCTCCCCGTCACGGCGAGCTCCGCCGCCACCGCGCTCCTCCACCCGCTCGTGTGCTGGCTGCTCGTGTTCAGGGCCGGCATGGGGAGCAAGGGAGCCGCGCTCGCCAACGCCATCTCCTACGCCGTCAACCTCGCCATACTCGCCGTCTACGTCAGGGCGTCCAACACCTGCAAGGGCAGGTGGAGCGGCTTCTCCGGCGAGGCCTTCAAGGAGCTCCGCCAGTTCGCCGCGCTCGCCATGCCCTCCGCCATGATGATCTGGTGAGAGATGGGACCATCGATGTAGAGTTGACTCTGAAAATACATATCTTATTTCAAATATTCAGTTTGTGATCGAAAAGAGTGATCATATCTGCAGCTTAGAACATATCTTATTTCAAAAATTCAGTTTCTCATCGACAAAGGTGTAGGAGTAATTTTTTAAGCTATGCTTCAACCAAACCGTTTAATTTTCTAGACAATTTTCTTTTGCAGCTTGGAGTGGTGGTCATTTGAAATCCTTGTGCTGCTCTCTGGACTTCTGCCTAATCCTCAGCTTGAGACATCAGTGCTGTCAATATGGTAACCACACAGTTCTACTTTTAGTGGTTCAGATTTTGTTTTAAAGGCACATTTTGTTCTTAACTCCAGCTAACAGTTTTCAATATTCAGCTTGAACACTGGGGCTCTGCTGTACATGGTACCATTGGGTCTATGCTCTTCTATAAGGTGCAAGTTGTCAACATGAAACTCCACAGTTTATAGTGTTCATGTAATAATTTCCTTGTCGATTTCATGTTTTTTTCTTCTCTGTCTTCCTGCAGCACGCGTGTTTCGAACGAAATTGGAGCCGGGCAGCCTCAAGCAGCGAAGCGAGCAACGCGAGTGGTGATGTATATGGCTTTGTCCGAAGGATTGGTGATAAGCTTTACCATGTTCTTGCTTCGCAATGTCTGGGGGTACATGTACAGCAACGAGCAGGAAGTTGTGACATACATTGCTAGGATGCTGCCGATTCTCGACATATCTTTCTTCATAGATGGGCTTCACAGTTCTCTGTCAGGTAGAATTAAAATGCATTGCACATGACAAAAATCTGAATCACAAGTTCACAACCACCTAATAAGCAAGTTATCCTGTACATCATTTTTAAGAGTTAAAATGAGTTGTTCTTGCACTTTGCAGGCGTGCTCACGGGTTGTGGCAAGCAGAAAATTGGTGCAGCCGTGAACCTCGGGGCATTCTACCTTGTAGGCATTCCGGTGGCTGTTCTGCTTGCATTCTACCTCCATCTGAATGGAATGGTACTTACCTCTGCTGAATTTTTCCCCCATGTAAAAAATGACCTGTAGAACAACATGGATGCATCTGAATTCTTAAACTGATGTGCTTTCAACAGGGCCTGTGGCTTGGCATCGTCTGCGGCAGCATCATCAAACTACTGGTGCTTATAATTGTCTCGTGTTGCATAGACTGGGAAAAGGAGGTAAGCACACTAAACGAATTCTTTCAGGATAATGATTAGGACCTTCTGCTGTTAAATCTGGACAACAATATGATGTCTTTTTTGATGTATCCAATTTCAGGCGATCTTGGCAAAGGACAGGGTCTTCAGCTCATCTCTTCCAGTAGCATGAAAATGTAGTGTGCCACATCTCACATGCAGTGCACCAGGCAATTAATAGGATGCAAAATTGGTCTATAGCACATCAGCATCAATCATCATTCTAAAAAGCATACGAATTGATCATCGTTCGGAAAAGCATACGAATTGATCTGCAAGAGGAGAATAGGAGCCGTCTTGTAACTTCTATTGGGATTTCGAAGAAGTCGAAGGAAAAACGTAGTTGAGGACTGCATCAATCACAATATGATCGAGGCCATGTCAGCAATTTTGGACTTCGCGTGTTGTGTATGACTATTGTTTTTGCCAACAGTGTACAACTGAGCTCTAGTTAGGATAGGTATAGGTACAGTGAGAGTATGTACCTAGTATGAATTTTGATGATTTTTGATGTCTCTGTCAGTGACATTGTAATGAGCAGCGCACAACATCTCGGAATGAACAAATGAAAACTTTGACCCTTTTTGTCTCTGAAATATTGGGCAGTGACAAGAAAGCACAATCCTCACCTGTTTTGATCAAAGGAGTTTACATGGTAAATCATAAATGACTTCAGATCAATCCATTAATCATTATTGGTATTATTATTATGTGCATTATAGTAGACTGTCTAGCAAAAGCCACATTATAAAATTGATGATGATACTCCCTTTGGGCTGATAATATTTATCTTTTGGACAGAACACGGTCTCAAACAACAACTTTGACCACTATTTTTCATTATAATATAAATAGAAATATCAATAAATATATGATTTTACTGGAATACTTTTTAAAACCAACCTATGCATATGTTCTCCATAATTTTAAGATAGATATTTTAGAAATTATTCATAGTCAAAGATTTTAAAATTTAACATCAACCTTATCCAAAACGATAAGTATTATCAACATGAAGAGAATAATGAGTTTCCAACACAAAGAATTATCATCACTGAATCCATAAAAGCATCACTTATGTTGCCATCCACGTGGATTGGGCAATATACTAGCTCAAAACATGCTTTCCAATGAAAATGCAACCACAAAATTTATAATTATGATCTATCAATTAATACCACAAAATCAAATCGACCCCATGTTTCATCCATAGAAAATCGAAATCGAAGTCTTATTAAAAATCCATTCACATTATTCACAATCGCCTATACCATCCATAAATCTATGCAATGGCGGACCTCAAGATGCTCCAAGTATGGTACTCCAGAATATTGACTTCTTCTTCCACATGCTCTTATCTTTAGTGCTACTAGCTTTCTTCTCTTTGCAAAATCGTTGGTGATTCCCCTCACTAAGGCCCTGTTTCTTTTAACTTGGGATTATTATAATCCAGATTATTGGGAGTAAGCTGAAAGAAACAGACAACTTATTGAAGTAGCTTATTATAATCTGGAGTCCAGCTTATTACAATCTGATAAGCTCATTTAGGTGAGCTTTTTCCAGATTATTGGGTGAAAAATTACCCACCATGCCACCCCACTCCCTCTTTAGACTTGCAAACCCAATAATCTAGGCTCTAATAATCAGGAAAGAAACAACTAACCGTTTATTCTACTATAGATTATAATAATCTAGCTTATAGTAATCTGACTCAATAATCTAGATTATAATAATCCCAAGCTGAAAAAAACAGGGCCTAAGTCATGCACTTGTAGCCCTGTTTGATCCTGCGGGGGACTAGCTACCTCTCTGTGTCCACTGAAATTCTTCCACATATTTCTGTAAGGGTGATACCTTAGGAGAAATCTCATGTGCCCCATGTAGACCATCTTGCATGAATGCTTCAACATTGACTTTTTGTTTCATCCATACACTCCGACACAAGCCCTCCATCCTATGACAGTTTACCCGGAAAGGATACCAAGGGTCGTATAATCGTTTATGGTGCAAAACAACAACACTTGGAGGCTGAAGCACTCCCACCTAGATGCATCCCAAGTTCGTGTGCCATAGCCTTTCTAAGTCATTGATTATTGGTTCTATGAACATATCGATATCATTACCAGGTTATGTCAGTCTTTGAACGAGCATTGCAGGCATAATGTACTTCCTCTTGAAGCACAACCAAGGAGGAAGATTGTAGTTCACAAGAACTGGCTATATACTATGACGACTGCTCAAATCACTGAATATATTAATGTCGTATGTACACATGGCGAGATGCATGTTCCTCGGGTCCTTTGCAAATTTGGGGTAAATTCTATCAATTGTTCTCCATTGTATTGAATATACTAGGTGCCTAAGCTTACCGTCGACCTTCCGTTCTTTAGCATGCCATCGCACTAACTTAGCTTGCTTCAGATTTGCAAACATTATGTTCATGCGCTCGGCAATTGGAAGATACCACACCACCTTTGCGGAGCCACCCCTATTTGACTTACGACCTTCACCTTCACTTAAGTCTCACTTATATCTAGAAGCCTCACAAATAGGGCAAGCATCCAAGTCGGCATACTGTTTGTAATACAATATGCAGTTGTTCCGACAAGCATGAAGTCTTCTGACCTCCAGACCCAATGGGCATAGGACTTGCTTTGCTTCATATGTCATCTACAGGATTTTGTTCCCCTCTGGCAATAAGTCCTTCAACAACTCAAGAAGTTATGTAGAACTTTTGTTGACCAACCATTACTTGTCTTAAGCTTCATGAGTTTCAAGACAGCGGATAACTTGGTGTGCTTTGGCTTACACCCAACATACAAAGACATCTCAGAATCTACCACCGATTTACTAAACTTTTCAAAATCTCTCTCGTTGTGATATGGGTCTTCAACATCACGCAACATATTAGACAGTTTCAGGGTCTAAATATATGGTATCTCCGCCTAATGGAGACGGGACAAACATGACATCTCTAGCTGTTGCATTGTTCACTATATCCGGCACTTCATCAGTTGCAACATCATGTGTCTCTTGGTCTCCATGCTTCCTCCAACATTTGTAGTGATCCATGAATCCTCTACTGATCAGGTGAGAATGTACCCATGAACTCTCTTCGAACATTTTCTCATTTTTACAATCTACATATGGACACAACATATATTTGCTCATCGTATTTTTCCTATCATTATCCGCAAAATTTACGAATTCAGTGACCCCCTCCCTAGGTTGAACGGTGAATATCGTACATCCAACTTCGGTCCATATGCAACTAATAAGATAACAATTGTAAGACACGATATGTAGTATACGTAATTAAATAATAATTATCACAGTTTTTTTACCTTCGATTTCAACAAAAATTCGCCCCCTTGCTCTCCTACCCGAAAAATGAACAGTATACTGGGTTGGGATGGAAAGTGGTTGGTAGGTTGGGGGTATAAATAGGCCGCAACTCACCTCAAACGAGTTAGGGCTAGAGCCCGTTTGAGATGAGTGAAGGCCATCTCTGACGGGCTATATCTTTATGGCCCATCACAGGTACGTGTTTACCTTTGACGGGCTGGAACTAGCATCCGATAGAGGTATCACTTTAACGGGTGTCAGATTCAGCCCGTCATAGGTGACCACCTATGACAAGCCGTGACCGGATGCCTCATCTGTTACGGGCTGCCAATGGACCCATCAAAGGTGAGGCCATCCGTGACGAGCTCTTCAGCCCATCACTGGTGGGCCATAAGAGATAAGCGGTTCTGACGTAGTGGGTACATCAGAGCTAGTTGACTCTGGGGCCATGAGAATCTTTCATTATTCACACATACCTAGTGAATTCTTCGGATGTTAATACCGGTCACCAGAATATCATTTTTGAGGGATAAGGCAAGAGCTTTGCCGTTCACTATAGCAAGTAGTTTGAATGCACTTCGATGCTGGAACTATCTAAAGCAACTTCATTGTACATATGTAACTCCATAAATTATTTATTATATCAATATATACACACTCTCCTACATATTTACATAAAAAAATTATTGTCTAATTGTAATTGTCCGATGGTCAAAGTCAGGTGAAAGGATCATATGTAACACTTTAAACCACATCACCATCAACTCATTGTCACCGAGATATATAGTGGACCCCATCCGTGCATGCTTTATATATAGAGTAATTTTACGGTCCTTGAGGAGGTATCATTAGGTACCAAATTTTACACTATTTTTTTTACCTCATATAGTACCTAAGTATCAAGAGGTACCAATTTTACAATAGAAAAAGTGGTACCTCATAGTACCTCCTCAAGGACCATAAAATTGCTCTCATATATAATACTCTTTTTTCAACCAAAAGTTGGAATATTTCATTTTCTTGTTTTCTAAATGAGATTATCATATTTATAGTTTCCATACCTCCGAGACTTAAATAAGGAGATTGTATTTTTTATTTTGCAGCGAAGATTGCATGGGTTCAGTTTCGTGGTCTTCGTTACCTGCGGGATGGGTTAAGAAAAGTAATACGCTTGAGACCTTTTCGATGGTGATAGTATCATCAATCCATGTATTTGTCAGCAACACTCATATGTCTTCAATTATTACCGTGTATATAAGAGGACGTCAGGCATGACGATGGTCAAGGAAACAGACAACAGGTAGAGTTTTGGATAAACACGGTGCAGCAAGTTTAAGACAGTTTGGACTTCACTTTGTGTGAGTGAGGGATTCCTACACTTTGTGCAACACCGATGATTTTACAGTTGAGTTTTAACTGTGCCGAATAACTAGTGAGAATAGTTTTTTACTGGTGGTCATGGAAGGTTATTTTTATTTGCAGGGAAATGTTTGCAAGAAGAGGTATTCGACTATTATTTGTGCTTATGGATCATCACAGCTGCAGAAATAGCCAAGACAGATGTGTCCAAATGCTCATGTTAATTTCCCAACTCCCAAGAAGTATGACCTGTAAACAGCGCGTCTTTTGATGTGTGCATTGACTTGAGCACACAACAAGTTAAATCGATGCTACGTAATTGCACTTTAAAAAATGTTTTTTGTATGTATGCTGCTATGCTTGGTAGAATGTTTTGTGGAATTTGCATTTTGTAGAATCCTGTGGCATCCATGGAGGTGTGAGAAGCTCAGGTGGCCTTGCTCGGCACTTGTAGAGCGTCGTCCCAGACAGTGTTCTTTTATATTGACCAATTAATATCGGTGTGTGTTTTAGTTATGCAGAGATCAGAAATATTCTCACCTTGATGTAATAGGCTAAGTTAAATAAAGATTCCATTATCTTAAAGAAAATGTTGACCAATTAATAGTGCATGCTAGTGTTCTGAAAAGGTCAACTTTATAAGATCATTTGACCATCAATTACTTAAACTACAAATATATTTAGTGTGTGTAAGTTACATCAACATATTCATATTTCAAATGGCTTTCATACAATGTTTGTTCTGCAGAAATTGATTGTTTGCTCAATACTTTTTCAAAATAACATTCACGCTATATTTTTCAGAGGGAGTTGTACAAAATCTGAACTGGAAAATGCACAGCTACATTGCAGATCTGTAATAGGTACAGAAGTAGTTTCATGCCTTCTGATACACCGTCTTATCATGGAAGTACTGTACATGATCCGGCACGCAATGTTTCAAAAGTCACTTTGCGTCCACTGTTTTTGTTTCAAATTTTCAAACAAATCTGACCACTTCTCAATCAGTCAGTGTAATACGATCAGAAGAGATGAAGCACCAGGTTGATAAATCTGACAAACAAGGACTTATCACAACCTTTGTGCTCTGATAATATTTTACACTCATGGCTCCTATGAAGGTTTCAGCATGATTCGAAATTTCATAGAATGTCCTATGGATTTTCAATATTTCTTCAGAAAAAGTTAGCGAAGGTTCCAAAATGCTTCGTCATTGTTTGCAAATTTCTGCAGAGTTAGTCCATGCAATGAAAATTTTCGTGTACACAGACATTGCAACCAAACGTTAGTACTCCATCCATCCCAAAATGTTTGACGCCGTTGACTTTTTTAAAAAGTTTGACCATTCATCTTATTTAAAAAATTTAAGTAATTATTAATTCTTTTCCTATCATTTGATTTATTGTTAAATATACTTTTATGTATACATATAGTTTTACATATTTCACAAAAGTTTTTGAATAAGACGAACGGTCAAACACGTTTAAAAAAGTCAACGGCATTAAACATTTAGAGAATGAGGGGGTATATCTTGGAGGCTAGTAGAGACCTACTAGTACCTTTGAACAGACGACTAAGATAAGATCAGAGTGATTATAGCTCACACACCGTTTTATGTAGAACTGGTAGAACCGTTTAATTTCCTATAATATGCTTCTTAGATTTTCAATTAATCGATGCATATAAGATATATCCTTAGTTTACAGAGTACAATCTGAACAAGAAAAAAAATATTAAATAGGTGTTATCACAAGAACAAAAATTCATGTTACAAATGTTAATAAACTGGGTGCTTAAAGATGAAAGGCGAGCTTCATAACATTTGGTTCTGTGTTGCTTTCACAATAACAATTGCACCATATCATGAAATTCTGATGCATTGTTTTTCTTCATGCTACAGGAAGAGATGAACTGAACACCAATTCTTTCGCCCTGGTTGACTGAAATGAAATTGCAAACATGAGCATATGACACATTTTACAATGAAAGGAAAATTGGTAGCTACCCTGATATAAAATGGTAGGCATCCTCAGATAACTTACTTCCTTCTCCCAGTTTATACTCATTGTGATCCAAAAGAGCAAGATAAGCTTGCTGAGGCTCCCGCAAACGATGCCAAGCCAAAGGCCCTAATGAAAGCACAAAATTTTCAGTCTTTCAGAGATACATCCATGTTGTTTATACTGAAACATGTGCGAAGTGCTAGATGTGAATCTGCAGCTATTTTTTAAAAAACGAAAGGGAATATTCAGACAAATAGCAGTACCATTCCATTCAGATGTAGCACAAATGCAAGAAAGACGGCCATAGGAATGCCTGCCAAGTAAAATGCGCCAAGATTTACCCGTGCGCCGATCTTCTGCTTGCCACATCCAGTGAGCACTCCTGAAAAATATTCAGACAATGATCTTCTGATCATTCTGTTCCTGACTTATGCATCAGGTAACTTCATTTACATGCTTATAATGTGGCAGTGTCACTGACATCATCCATGCAGGAGGTTTTTACCTGAAAGAGCGCTGTGCATCCCATCAATGAAGAATGATATGGCTAGAACAGGTATCATACGAGCAATGTAGGTGACAACTTCAGCCTCATCACTGTACATGTGACCCCAGGAATTGCGCAACAGAATCATCGTAAACGCAACCACCGAGCCTTCGGTCATGGCCATACATATGACCACTCGAGTTGCCAGCTTCGCTGCCTGGGGATTGCCGGCACCTAGTTCGTTCCAAACACGCGTGCTAGGCAGTAGAAAAGAAAGAAATCAGCCAGACTCTAAGCAGAAAAAAGGATCAAAATAGCAGAGTATCATATCTGAACATTTTATTGCAGAATCTCAAGACCTTATAGCTGTGCTGAGACCAATTGGAACCATGACCAGCAGAGCACCAGTGTTGAGACTGCAGAATCCAGCAAACAATTTAGTAAACATACTTCGTTTCATTCATGTTAATTTATTAAATTTGTATCAGAGACATAATCTTGTGATTGATTACCATATCGACAACACTGAGGTTTCAAGTTTAGGATTGGGCAGAAGACCAGAGAGCATCACAAGAAATTCAAATGACCACCACTCCAAACTGCGTAATCAAGAAATTAATCCAACATTAGTCAAGCTATAAATATAATTTTAGACAATGTAAGCAGTTTTCGATCTCTGCAAATTTTACCATCCTTGAAAATGTGTCGTACCACATTTTCTAGTGTAAAATTTAGTACATCTAGATACTAAGCATCTTGAGGTACCAAAATTTCTAGCGTAAAATCATGGTACCTCCCGTTGCTTTCTCAAGGACTACAAAATTTCTAATGAAGTACATGATGTTGTCCTTACCAGACCATCATTGCCGCGGGGATGGCGAGCTCCGCATACTGGCGGAGCTCCCTGAAGGCCTCCATGGAGAAGCCAGTCCATGTCTTCTCGCAGGAGCGCGACAGCCTGACATAGAGAGACATTATGGTGAGGTTGACGCCATAGGAGACGGCGTTCGCCAGCGCGGCGCCCCTGCTGCCCATGCCGGCCTTGCGCACCAGCGCCCAGCACACGGCCACGTGGCTCGCCGCCGTGACGCCGCAGCTCGCCATCACCGGCAGCACGGCGCTCTGCGCCTGCAGGAACCGGATGTGGCACACCAGCGGCACGAACGGGACGAGCGACGGGATCAGCCACCGCGCGTACGCGCCGGCCTCGGCGGCGATGGCCGGGTCCTGGCCGAACAGGAGGAGGATCTCGCCGGCGCTGGCCCAGACGAGCGCGATGGGCACGGCGGCCACGGCGAGCACCAGCATGGCGCGCTGCTTGTAGACGCCGAGGAGGTGGTGCTGGCGCGCGCCGTACGCCTGCCCGCACAGCGTGTCCAGCGCGCTCGCCATGCCGAACTGACGATCGAAATCGACCAACCAAGAAAGCATTCACAAATCCGACCAATAAATCGACAGGGATCAAGCAGTTCTTTGCGTGCGCGCAAGGTGTTCGACCGATGCTTACGAGCAGGCTGAAGCCGGTGACGTTGGCGAGGGAGGTGGCGAGGGAGGCGCCGGCGAGGGGGAGCTCGCCGAGGTGGCCGACGAACATGACGGACACCATCTGCACCACGTTCCGCAGCACGCCGCTCGCCACCAGCGGCCCCGCCAGCCGGAGCAGCCGCTTCAGCTCCGCCGCGGCCGCGCTCTCGCCCTTCTTCTCGCCAGCGCCAACAAGCAGCGGCTCCTCCACGCTCGCCGCCGGCTTCTCCATGGCCAATCTTTCTTGGCGAGCGTGAGCAGACGACACGACTGACGAGTGACCACCGAATTGTGGGAGGCAGCCGCCATTGGAATGCGTGGAGATTACATACAAGTAGCCGTTGATTGATTGGCTTTTTCTGTGTTGTGTCCGCAGGTGAGGTCACACGGCTTGGCTGCCAAATCTTAGTAGTAATTGTTTTTTTTTTTTTGCGAAGTAACTCTTGGCATCCATAGCTAAGAGTCTTTTGTTTTATTTTAGATGGTGTAGTACTTACGGAGTGACGTGCTAGAATTTATTGATTTTGGAAAGTATTTTTAGGTTGAACTTATTTATAGAAAGTTGAAGGTCTGCCCCATCATCTTATGTGTCTTATGGTAGAGGTCGGAGATTAAAATCATTTCCATTATAGAAAAAAGTAGTAATTTTAATTAGTTGTCGTTTGTCAGACTATCAGAGATCTGAATCCAGCTACTACTAGTTCACTAAGCTTTGATACTTTTCCTATCTGTGACCAACATACCGGATTGAGGGAAATTAATTTATTGGCTGTCAGTAGAGAGTAGAAACTAGAGAATACTTATCCTAGTATTTTTTTTAAGAATTGCACAGTACAATACAAACACTCACAACGCACGCGCACTCACCCCTATGAACACACGCACGTAAACCCTACCTCTATGAGTATCTTCGAAGACTGGGCCGGCAAATCCTGGAGAGATTGACGAAGTCACCACAGGCGCCTCGCTGTCCATGGGTACGCCGCCTACCACTGAAAGCACAACGTTGTTAAATCCTAAAAAATTCGCTCCCATGGGGAGTCGAACCCAGGACCTCAAGTGCTACTGAGGCAGTGAGGCTGTTGTAACCACTGGGCTACAGGCCCTTTCGCCCTAGTATTTATTTATGTAGATATGATGCTAATATTTTTTTTTGGACATTTATAGTGATATTCTTTAGATATATTGAATATAGAAATTTAGAAATTGTACTTAACCACAAATTTGGGCTTTTGGAGGGTATGAGTAGTTAATACCAGTGTATTTTGGATTATTGGAATTTCGTTGAAATTTCGGAGTAAATTTGACTTGCTTCAAACATGTGAACTTTTCCATTCTCTACGGGATTTGAACTGATTATACTAGTTCATTTTCCATTACAATCAAGTAAATTTGTCAGACTATAATGGAGTTCGATATGCAAGTTCTCGAGAATGGAGAGAGTAAGAAGTAGAACACATACAAACTGCTTCTATTATGCCTGCTCGACAAACTGATGCAGCAACGGGGGTTCCTGATCGTTCGATGAGAGGAGGATAAACTTTGATTTGGGGAAGGATACGACGTTGGCGGTCCGACTACAACTGCCACAGGGGTGCTGCGCCTTAGCAACCGGTACACCGACTCCACGTTGTTGCTGTTCTTGCCGTGCCAAGAACAACCTTGAACCTGCAAGCAATCGAAGAACAAGCAAGAACAAGTTGACAAGGAAACAGCTCACGGCACTTGTCAAATGATGAAACTTAAACAAACCAAAATGGGGTTCTGAATACAAGTATCCGGGTGGTCTAGCCGACACACGCGAGTACAAGGAAGTAGCTGCAGCTAAACTTACATCAAAACAAAACCCAAAGTGCAAAATGGTGGCTGCTAGGAGTTTATATAGGTGGAGGAATGACCAGGAGAGGAGGTGGGAGCAAACCCTAGGTTTTGTGGACCCCTAATGGGCTGTAATGATACAAGGCCCAAGCCCAAGTTTCTGATGTAAAGAACTATTTTCGTCATTCTGAGCAGCCTGGGTCAAACTTGATGGTGAGGCCACACATAGCTGAAAGTAGACGACGAGATCTTTCCAACAAGTACTCATTTGCCCCGTTTGCCCTCCGGAGTGAAGAGCATTGACTTCATCAAATCAGCGCTGCTAGTGCTGCTTGCGATTTGGTTCCTCTCCCATATTCCTAACAACAAGTAGATCACAACAACCATTTAGTAGCACCCAATTCTGAGAAGAACTTGTATGATTAGCTAGGAATGACTTTACCTGATAATTAAGTTCACGAGCTCGAGCTCTAGTCATTGGTCCTTGCTGTGCAATAGGCGTGGTTGTATCGTTGGAAGGGATGTCCTCATCATCCTCCCCTTCTTGCATTTGAGTCGTCCTCGACTCTAACTCATCTTCTTCTCCCAAATATGGCTTTAAATCTGCAATGTTAAACGTGGGGCTAACCCCAAAATCGGCAGGTAGCTCAAGCTTGTATGTATTGTCATTAATCTTTTGTAGCACTTTGAAAGGACCATCAGCTCTAGGTAGCAACTTAGATTTTCTCAAATTAGGGAACCTATCCTTTCTCAAATGCAACCAAACCAAATCACCAGGTTCAAAAGCAACATGTTTCTTTCCTTTGCTCCCAGCAAGTTTATACTTTATATTCATGCGCTCTATGTTCTCCTTAGTGGTCTCATGCAGTTTTAACATCAATTCAGCGTGATATTTTGCATCAAAGTTCACTCTCTCTGAAGTTGGGAGGGGCAAAAGATCAATTGGAGCACGGGGTAGAAGGCCATAAACAATCTCAAAAGGGCACTTCTTAGTAGTAGAATGTTGTGAACGATTATAAGCAAACTCAACATGAGGCAAACATTCTTCCCACATTTTAATATTCTTTTTCAAAACAGCCCTAAGCATTGTAGATAATGTTCTATTCACCACCTCAGTTTGTCCATCAGTTTGGGGATGACATGTAGTAGAAAATAAAAGTTTAGTCCCCAACTTAGCCCACAAGGTTCTCCAAAAATGACTAAGGAATTTTGTATCGCGATCAGAAACTATGGTGTTTGGCACTCCATGCAAGCGAACAATCTCACGAAAGAACAAATCAGCAACATGTGTAGCATCATCACTCTTATGACAAGGTATGAAATGCGCCATCTTAGAAAATCTATCTACAACAACAAAGATACTGTCCCTCCCCTTCTTTGTTCTAGGCAGCCCTAAAACAAAGTCCATAGAAATATCCTCCCAAGGCACACTAGGAACAGGCAAAGGCATATACAAACCATGAGGGTTAAGGCGTAACTTAGCTTTTTGGCATGTTGTGCAGCGAGCAACGAACCTCTCCACGTCTCTCCTCATCTTAGGCCAAAAGAAATGATCAGCAAGGATATCCTCCGTCTTCTTCACACCAAAGTGTCCCATCAACCCTCCACCATGCGCTTCCTGCAATAATAGCATACGCACGGAGCTAGCTGGAATGCATAACTTATTAGCTCTAAACACAAACCCATTGGTGAGAACGAATTTGTTCCAAGTCCTTCCCTCCTTGCAATTCAACAACACATCTTTAAAATCATCATCGTGCGCATATTGCTCTTTTATTGTTTCTAAGCCAAAAATTTTGAAGTCAAGTTGGGATAGCATTGCGTAACGTCTAGACAAAGCATCAGCAATGACATTTTCTTTTCCCTTCTTATGTTTGATGACATATGGAAAAGATTCAATAAATTCAACCCATTTAGCATGCCTACGGTTAAGTTTTGCTTGACTTCGAATGTGTTTCAAAGATTCATGATCAGAGTGTATAACAAATTCTTTGGGCCATAAATAATGCTGCCATGTTTCCAATGTTCGCACTAGAGCAAACAATTCCTTATCATAAGTAGAATAATTCAAACTAGGCCCACTCAATTTCTCGCTGAAATATTCTATAGGTTTGCCTTCTTGTAACAACACACCACCCAATCCAATCCCACTAGCATCACATTCAAGCTCAAAAGTTTTGTTGAAATCAGGAAGTTGGAGTAAAGGAGCGTGTGTTAACTTATCTTTCAAAGTGTCGAATGCATTCCTTTGTGCTGCAGCCCAAGTGAATGTGACATTTCTCTTGGTAAGCTCATGTAATGGGGCTGCAATGGTGCTAAAATCCTTCACAAAGCGGCGGTAGAACCCAGCAAGTCCTAGAAAGCTTCTCACTTGGGTGATCGTTGTTGGAACCGGCCAGCTATGTATGGCTTCAACCTTGGCTTGATCTACTTCAATTCCCTGCGGAGTCACAACATAGCCAAGAAAAGAGACTCGATCTGTGCAAAATGTGCACTTCTCAAGGTTACCAAATAAACGTTCATCTCGTAGAGCATCAAAAACAGCACGCAAATGACCATGATGATCCTCTATTGATCTGCTATATATGAGAATGTCATCAAAATATACCACCACAAATCTGCCAATGAAAGCACGTAAAACTTCATTCATTAATCTTATGAAAGTACTGGGTGCATTAGTGAGACCAAAGGGCATGACTAACCACTCATATAGGCCGAATTTAGTTTTAAAAGCTGTTTTCCATTCATCTCCTAACTTCATGCGAATCTGGTGGTAACCACTACGCAAATCAATTTTAGAGAACACAAGTGAACCACTCAATTCATCAAGCATATCATCTAGCCTAGGGATAGGATGACGATATCTGATTGTGATGTTGTTAATTGCTCTACAATCCACACACATGCGCCATGAGCCATCTTTCTTAGGAACTAAAAGCACGGGGATAGAACAAGGACTAAGAGACTCACGTACATACCCCTTGTCGAGTAACTCTTGCACTTGACGCTGAATCTCCTTTGTTTCCTCTGGGTTGGTCCTATATGGCGCACGGTTTGGCAGAGAGGCCCCAGGAATGAGGTCAATTTGGTGCTCAATCCCTCGAATTGGTGGCAGCCCCGGTGGAACCTCCTTTGGGAAAATATCAGCATACTCCTGCAAAAGATTAGTGACCGGAGGAGGCAAAGAAATAGGAGTATCCTCAATTGGAAATAAGGTTTCTTTGCAAACCAAAGCATAGCAAACAACAGTGTCAGTGTCAACTTCATCCAAATCTGATTTTGTTGCAATGAAACAAGATCCCTTCAGCTTAATCTCATTTTTATTATTTTGAACAGAGTTGGTGGGTTTCTTCTTATGCTTCTCAAGTTCATTAGCCGCAATAAGATGCTCACTCCTAGTATGCTCCTGATTTTTTTGTTTGCTAGCTCTAGCAAGTTCATCCTTTAAAATAACTTCAGGAGACATAGGATGTAACACAAGTTTTTTTCCATTATGCACAAAGGAGTATTGATTGGATTTGC